AAATCTTTTAATCTTAACTAGCATACACCCTGTGAAACTTTTGGTTACAAAAAAGTCTTGATGCATTCCTGGAACCTGATGGCTTGGGGGTGAGGAGGGACTAAGCCCTTACCCCCCTCTTTGGTTAACCCTTTCCCTGCTTCCTCTTCTTTTGTTCAGTTTCTTTTAAAGTAGCTAATCCTGTAAGACTGTGAGAATAGACACGAGCCAATGGGGGGAAAAGACACAGTATTCTTGCTTAGGTGTTAGTGTAATAGGGTGCCTTCTTGAAAATAGCTACACCATGTTAAAGTTTAGGTTGACTCTATTCTCTGAAATTATTAGACAGTTGGCCCAGGATATGGGAACACATGCAAGCTTGACCCTGGTTGTCTTGGGAACAGGTCAGAGTGTCCTAGAGTGCTCCTGCTAACTGCTGATTTATGGCTTCTGTAGGTTATGCTTGACTTGCTTCTGCAAAATACCAATTGTTGCTTAATAGAACAGAAATTGTTTAGGGGACTCTCTGCCTGTATGTTTGGGAACCTAAACTTTTCACTCCTGTTTATAGTTTCTCTGTACAAAAAGTATCCCATGGCCAGGCGTGGTGGTGCATGCCTTTAGTCCCAACACTTGGGAGGCAGAGGCAAGCAGATCTTTGTGAGTTCAAGGCCAGCCTGGTCTACATAGTGAGTTCAGATCAGCTGGGACTACAGGGAGACCCTGTCTCAAAAGGACAAATAAAAAAAGTATCCCACAACCTTTAGATTCTCCTAAGATCCAATTACTATACAACAAAACCCCCTAGAGGGAACTTTGTGATAGGTAAAGACAAAATAGAATAACAGTAAGATTGATAATGTCAGTTTATGAAAGAGAAGGAAGCTAGTTCAGAGCAGGTGGGGGGTTTGGATGGAAACATATTTTCTTATGTATTTCTTTGATAACGTTTGCTCAAGCTTAATGCTCAATGATTGTCTTCTGTATTCTGCTTGCTTGCCTAGCAACATGATCAATATAAAAAGAGCCAGAGTGCTTAGGCTCAGTGCTGCACTCAGACCCTCTAGGAAAGAGTGTAGCCTGGCCAAAATAAATCCTTCTTTCTCCAGACTCACCTGTCTGTTTGGGGCATTTGTGGATTCTAGACTGTAACATTAGGGAAAAGCTTACAGTACTCCACTCCATGTACTTCCTTTCCCTTATCTCTTTTGTGTGTTGTACTCTTCTGATCAGAGGTAAACAAGGAATTGTTGAGATACCTCAGTTGAAGTGCTGATGACCCTGAACATATTTCTAACAGCTGAAGAGCAGCTAACACTTTTAAGGGCTGTGCCATCTCTCTAGCCCTGTGCTGTAATTCTTACTTCTCTGCTGGCAAGAAGTTTCAATGGATTCTAGGGTGATGGGTTCCTCTCTCATGAGCTCAAGATTTCTCTGTCTTTCCATCCTGCCTCAGTTGCTTGTGATTACAGATCTGCCCAAGTTAGGCCATGTATTCACTAGTCTAACTACCACCCAAATGGAAATGAAACAAGTAAACTTTTTAAAAAAAATTTTATTTTATGTGCATGAGTGTATTGCCTGCATGTATGTGAGTACACCCATGTCATGCAGTGCCATGGAGGTCAGAAGAGGGCCTCGGATTCCCCTGGAACTGGAGTTAAGGACGGTTCATAGCCGCCATGTGGGTGCTGGGAATTGAACCCAGGTCCTCTGCAAGAGCAGTCAGTTCTCTTAACCACTGAGCCATCTCTCCAGGCCCAAAACAAGTACACTTTTTTTCCTCCAAATTTATTTTTATTATTATTTTTTGGTCTTTTTGAGACAAGGTCTCTCTGAAGCCCCAGCTGGCCTGGGATTCATTATATAGACCAGGGTGCCCTTGATCTCACAGAGATCCACCTGCCTCTGCCCCCTGAGAGCTGGGACTAAAGGCATGTGCCACCATACCTGGCTTATTTTTATTATTGTTATTTGTATGTGTGTTCAATATGTGGATATGTGCACGTGAGTGCAAGTGCCTGTGGAGGCCAGCGGTATCTGATCCTCTTGGAACTGGAGTTACTGTGATTGTAAGCCACCTAATGTCGCTGCTGGAAACAACTAGAGTCCTTTGGATGAGCAGTACTGGTTCTAAAATGCTGAGCCATCTCTCCATCCAACCCTCAGGTACCCTTTACAGTCAAAACAACCCTACAAAAACAACCATTAGCTTGACTTCATCATCAACTTAGCTTGTCCATGACCTTCGTATTAGTATTTCTAATTTTGTGTACTCTTTATTTTATTTATTTATTTATTTGTCTTTTTGAGACAGGGTCTCCCTGTAGCCCCAGCTGTCCTGGAACTCACTATGTAGACCAGGCTGGCCTTGAACTCACAGAGATCCACCTGCCTCTGCCTCCCGAATGCCGAGATTAAAGGCGTGTGCCACCACGCCCGGCAATGTGTAGTCTATTTTTTTAAAAAAAAAATTTTTATTTATGTGTATGAGTGTATTGCCTGTATGTGTCTTGCAGTGCCAAGGGAGGTCAGAAGAAGGCATTGAATTCCCCTGGAACTGGAGTTATGGATGATTGTTAGCTGCCACGTGGGTGCTGAGAATCAAACCTGGGTCCTCTGTAAGAGCAGTCAGTGCTCTTAACCGCTGATTCATCTCTCTAGCCCTTGTGTGCTCTATTTATAATATATATATATATATATTTTCAAAAAGTACATACCCAGCCTCAACTGTAGGATGAGATAAAAGCAGGGAGAAGAAAAGGTACAGCCATAACATAAAACACAGAACTTCCCCACAAACATCCAACAGGCTGCAGCAACCAAGAACACTGTGACCTCACAGAGACCAGTGATCGGACTGCTGATCTGATCTAGGTGAAGCAGTTCATTTTTCAGGCATTTGATACTCAAGAAAAATAAACATTATCACTTAAAATTCAGCACTCACATTGTCATTAGCTCACAGTATCAGGCAATGAGAAACTGTCTGTACTACCTACCTCTAGAATCTTCCATGTACTTATCAGTATCCTAACACCTAAAGATTTCCTACAATACTGTAATCAGCACCTCCCATACATTAAACATACACTGCATTATGTTCTGAGTCTCTGAAATTTCATCATTGCATACAGTGTTCTAGAATTCACTTTTTCACAAGTTTAACATGGACACAGAAGAAAATACCAAGCAACATTTATTGTGCAGTTCCAACAGTTATTTGTGGAATCTTGGTTTAGAGTCAGTCTTCATAGTTATTCCAATTGCCTAGTTTAAACAAAAAGGAAAATCCTACCTAAATTTCATGATCATTCTTCAAACACCAAAGTACTAAAAGCACTGATGATTCATGTTATAATTTAAAAAGTATTTTAAAACTGCACATATTTTATATACCATTCCTTTTATAAAATAAAATAATTTGATTATCTGTAAGAAAGTGAATGAAACAGAGCCCTTTCGATGTACCTACAATACACTTTTAAAAATTAACTTTCTTAGACTATTCAGAGTTCTGTCTGCCTCGAGGTGGAAGCTCTTGGGGGAGAGGTCCATTTATCTGCATAAGAATTTGGCTTGTTGAGATCTCTGCATTTTATAAATGCTTCCTACTAAGAAAGCATTTTTTAAGTCACTGCTTGTACCAGGTAATTCTTGCTGGGGGTGGGAAATGGTTGGATTTTTGTTGGGAGTGGGGTGGTGGGATTTTTGTTGATGCTGTGTTCTGAGGCAGTAACAAGGCGTCGCTGTGAATACAGTGTGTGCTGCTGCCTTTGTAACTGCAGGAGCTTTGCACATGGGTTCTGTCTGGGTTGATATAGAATTGTGGAAACTTGGAGGTGCAGGTATACGATTTTTTTTTAGCACTTCACACGTTTAAGTTATTGAAAATAATACAAAGTTTAATCACTTTAATGCTACATGATTCTAGAATTAGCTTTGTTTTACAAACTTTTAAATTACATTTTAGAATAAAAATTGATGTGCTTAGCTAACTTTTGCATAATACAAGCTTTCTTAGAGTTCCACACGGTTGGACCATGGCAGCTAATTTTGTAATTTAAGCATTCTTTTAAAAAAATTATTTTTATCTGTATGAGTGTTAATGCCTGCATGTAAGTAAGTGCACCTGTGTTGTGCAATTCTCACAGAGGACAGAAAAAGCTGTCAGATCCTCTGGAACTGGAGTTATAGACGGTTGTTAGCTGCCATGTGGGTTCTGGGATTCAAACCCGGGTCTTCTACAAGAACAGTCAGTATTCTTAACCGCTGAGCCATCTCTCCAGCCCCAATTTAAGCGTTCTTATGAATTACCTATGACATAATATTAAACTGATGAAAAAAATATTTTTATGTGTTAGTGTATTCCTGCATGTATGTAAGTGCACTCATGTCGTGCAGTGCCCTCTGAGGTCAGAAGAGGGTGTCGGAGTTGGAGTTAGGATAGTTGTTAGCTGCCAGGTAGAGGCTGGAACCGAACCCGGGTCTCTCTGCGAGAGCAGCCAATGCGCTTAACCGCTGGCTGAGCCATCTCTCCAGCCCCGTCTTTTTGTGTTTTTTTTTGGACAGGGTTTCCCTAGTCCTAGTCCACCTGGAAGTCACTATGTAGACCAGGCTGTCCTCCATCTCAGAGATCCGCCAGCCTCTGCCTCCCGAGGGCTGGGATTAAAGGTGCGCCAGCTGTGTACTCCATTTTTTAACTGAGCAACTATTTCTAACATTTGTATTAAGAATGCTCAAGGACTGTTTCGTTCCAATACGGACACGTTTGTGTCCTGGAGGGCGAATCTGCTTATCCTTCATATCTGTTCTTCCGGCACTGACGCGTAGGGAGGCACCTGGCAAGGGATCACACACCCCTGCGTCTCCGCCTTAGCAGCATCTTCTCTTTCTGTCCCCTCACGCACTGCCAAAAACCATCCATCACTTCTCCAGCTGTCCTCAAAGACTCATTTCCGCGTTTATTTCCCTCCCAGAATTGGCGCCGTAGTGACGCACTTCCGCCGCGCCCTGGGAGGGGCTGTGGACTCGGCGTGCGCCGTTCTTCAGCACGTGTGGCCCGCGCCCTGGGGTCCCTGTCCCGGGGGAAGTCGCGGCGCCCGCCTTCCGCGGCTCGGGCCCTTAGCGTAGCTTCATTATGGAGCACCTTTCGGTGGAGCTGGCGGCCGGGCCACTGCGGCTCATCGTGGCCAGGAACGAGAAGAGCCGCGGCGAGCTGGCCAGGTTCCTGACCCACCAGGTGAAGAGGGGCGCGGGCGGGGGTTGGATCTTGCCCAGGTTGAGGCTGCGGCCGGGGGCGGAGCGGGGCCAGGCGGGCACTTTCTGTGTGTAGGGAGCCTCGGGCGCCCGGCGGCGGCAGGCTGTGGCGGCCAGCGTGCCCTCAGCCGGGCTGTGGCTTTCCGCCTAGTCTGCGTCCCTGCCCCCTAGACACGTGCCTGGTCTAAGCGTGCTAAGTGCAGCCACCGCTGTTGGCTTGGATACTGGCTTTTCTGTTTTCTTCCTTCGCTTGAGTTCGGCCGGTTGGCGAGTGTCGATTGCGGTTCTGCTGGGCGTAAGTTACAGTGTAGCACTGCCGAGCCAGATGACTCCGCTACGGTCTCTGCAGATACTCTGTAGATACTCTAGAGACAGTTTATAAACACAAAACAACTGAAGGACAAAACAAGACGGCTAAAGCTGACTTTGAAACTAACCATAGGAATTGTGAAGTGAAAGCGAATGTTTTGCCAAATGGGTCTTTGCCTGGGTTTTCACGAGCCTGGTCTCCTGCCTGAGTTGAGGGTCCTTACCGGGTTTCGCACGTAGCGTTTAATCTTACTCCCCTATCTTGTGTTTTCCTACTCGCACTGTCTAGTAGCTTTTTGAAACTAGAAAAATGTGTTTAGTTTTGTAAAACTTATTCAGTCACAAATGCATTATGAACTTACTCCGTTGCTTAAGAATCTACACCTGTGTATCAAATGAGTTGAAGAGATCTGAGCAATTCAGAGAGCAGCATAGAATTCACCTTAGAGAATTGTGATTTCTTTTTTTAAGGCAGGGTTGGTGGGTGCTGGAGGTTCAGTCCATGTTCTCCTCATCTACACTCCTGGCCCAGAGGTTATTTCTGTTAATAAATTGAACATGAAAATCGAATTCCAAGTGGAATCGAACTGGGGTATTCTTTAAGAGCAACCAGTGCTCTTAATCACTGAGCCATCTCTTTAGCCTGGGAAACTGACGTATTTAAGTATAAGAACACAGGTAGAGTCTTAGAATTGTATAATAGCATTACTATACTAGACTACCAGACTAAAAAAATCAGTTGAATTAAGGAGTTTGGAATAAAATTGCTTCCCTTCCTTCCTCATCCCTCTTAATTTTTTTACCTTGTCAAATTCTAACCAGTCTCAGAAAACGCCTTTCAGGTGTTTCTTGGGTAATAAAGATACTCATTCAGAATTGGTTATATTACAGTATTAAAGCTCTTTTTTAAAGACGGGCTCTTGCTTTGCAACTCTGGCTAGCCTCCAACCCTCTGCAGTCCTGCCTTAGGCTTAGTGCTCAGATTACAGGTGCATACCACTAATGGTCAGCTTTACAGTTCATATTTCCCCCCCTTTTTGGAAGCAATTGTATTGGGAAATATTAAAGATTTTAAAATAAATATTTTATTTATTATTTTTAAGTGTATGTGTGTATTGCCTGCATGTAGGTAAGTGCACCTGTGTTGTGCAGTGCTCGCGGAGGACAGAAGAGGCTGTCGGATCCCCTGGAACTGGAGTTACGACGGGCAGTTGTTAGCTGCCATGTGGGTGCTAGGATTCGAACCCAGGTCTTCTGCAAGAACAGCCAGTGTTCTTAATTGCTGAGCCATCTCTCCTGCCCCGGAAAATATTAAAGATTTTAAAAATATTGATGATACACATTGGAATTTGATATCTAAATAAAGAATTTATTTTTTAAAATTTCAGCTGATGACTATCCTAAATCCAAGAACTAGGTGCTAACTCTTGAAGGGGGAGGAAGGGAAGAGTTGTTCGGGGGATTGAGTCCAAGGCTTCACACTACCACTGAGATATCCCCCCATCCCTTCTTTTTAATTTTATTTTTTATTTTATGTGTATGAGTGTATTGCTTACTTGTGTGTAAGTGCACCTGTGTTGTGCAATGCCTGCAGAGGTCAGAAGAGGCTTTTGGATTCCCCTGGAATTGAAATTTTGGATGGTTGTTAGCCTCAATGTAAATGCTTGGAATTGCACCTGGGTCCTCTGGAAGAGCAGCCAGTGCTCCCAACCACTGAGCCATCTTTCCAGCTCCTCCCCCATCCTTTCTTAACTTTCCATTCCTCCTCCTCAGCATAAAGCTAGTGCTTACTGGTTTTTCTTTTTTCCTTTAAAAAAATATTTATGTGTATGACTGTATTGCCTGCATGTATGTTAAGTGCATCCTTGTCATGCAGTGCCCTGGAGGCCAGAGAGGGCGTTGGAACTGGAGTTATGGGCAGTTAGCTGCCAAGTGGGTGATGGGAACTGAACCCAGGTCCTTTGCAAGAGCAGCCAGTGCTCTTAATCACTGAGCCATCTCTTTAGTCCCCAGTTTTTCTTTCTTTAAAAAATTAGAGCCAGGCATAGTGGCGCACTCCTTTAATCCCAGCACTCAGGAGGCAGAGGCAGGCAGATGTTTGTGAGTTCTAGGCCAGTTGGAGCTACAGGGAGACCCTGTCTCAAAAAGACAAATAAATAAATAAATAAATAAAATAAATAAAAAATTATTTAGAGACAAGGTCTCATGTGGCAGAGTCAGGCCTCCAACTTACAGTAGCTGAGCATGACTTCGAATTCCTGATCTCCTGCCTCTCTTCTCCAAGTGCTGGCATTACAGGCATGTGCTTACTTTCAAAATACATACCTTTTTTTTTTTATTCCTTACAACTATCTACCCCTTTGATCACTGTATTTATGGAGAACAGATTGCTTAATACCATGCATAGGCACTGTAACTGGCAGCAGTGCTATGGGATTCTGCCAAAGAAATAAGAAAACCTGAGTTCACAAGAAAACAGCTTTTATTCACCAGCAGGGACCCAGGCGGTGTTATCTCCAAAAGGAACCTGGACCCTGACCAGGTTTACTTACTTGTAAAAAGTAAGAAGTTTCAGCGGTTATCTACTCAACATTATATGATTGGCTAATTTTGTAATAGAAATATTAAAAGACATTTTTTAGAAAGAAAAATGTTTACAGATACTGTGTGGTCAACTTGGTCTCAAACTATGTTTATATCTGATGCCACCTAGGGTTACACAGTTGGTGGTTTTGTTTTTGTAATTTTTGCTTTATAACCTTGAGTTGCTCATGTACCATTTCTCTCCTTTTTTAAAAAATATTTATTTTTATTTTATGTGTATGAGTGCATTGCCTGCATGTATGTGAGTGCACCCGTGTCATGGAATGCCTTGGAGATCAGAAGAGGGCTTTGGATTCCCTTGGAACTGGAGTTACGGACAAGTTTGTAGCCTCCATTTGGGTGCTGGGAATCACACTCGGGTCTTCTGCAAGAGCAGCCAGTGTTCTTGACCACTAAGCCATCTCTCCAGCCCCCATTTCTCTCCTTTCAAAAAAATTTATTTTGGGGGCTGAAGAGACTGCTCAGTGGTTAAGAGCACTGACTGCTCTTGCAGAGGACCTGGGTTCGATTCCCAGCACTCACATGGCAGTTGACAGCTGCCCTAATTCCAGTTCCAGGGGATGTGACACCCTCTTCTGATCTCCTTGGGCACTGCATGACATGGGTGCACTTACATACATGCAGGCAATACACTCATACACATAAAATAAAAATAATAAATATTCATGTGTATGAGTGTATTGCCTGCATGTGTGTAAGTGTACCCATCTTGTGCAATGCTCGAGGAGGTAGGTTACCCTGGAACTGGAGTTATGGACAGTTGAAAGCTGCCATGTGGGTGTTGGGAATCGAACACAGGTCCTCTGCAAAAGCAGCCAGTGCTCTTAACTACCGAGCCATCTCTCCAGCCCCCATTTCTCTCCTTTTGATGCTCAGAGAGCATCATTCTTGATTAATGGGATGATAAGTCTGGAGGAACATTTGAAGTTTAATAGCTGCTAAGAAAGAGGAAACAAATTGGGTTATACTAAGAATGCAAGAGCTAGACAGATATGTTTATGAAGAGCATAAGGAGAGGACCAGCCAAAGGAACAAGCCTGGATGCCTAGCTCTAGACATTGCCCCAGTAACTCCAGGAATCTGTTAATTCCTGCCTTACTGTAACTCATTCTCTTGTTGGGCCTTATCTCTAACTATTCCTGACTGCTTTACCTAAGAACTGCCTTCTTCATTTAGAAAGAGACAAAGATCCTTTGTATTTAATAGATCTAATCTACTGTTTTGTAAAACTCTGGCTGCCAGTGAGTGTGGTTGATCCTGGAGGCACATGATCCCAGAGGTTAGTTGACTGACAGCTGAGGTTATTCCCCCAATTCCAGTCCCTGTACCTCTTTCCTACTGAAAATATGATGAATTGGATCACCTTCTTGGGTCTGACATAGACCCTTAGTGGAATGGCTAGGGTGTTAGGGATTTAGTCCCTAACATTCCCCTCTGAAGCAGTAACTCTAAAATCATTTAGGAGATAGGCTGAAGTTGGGGAATAGATGTGACCCATATTAATCATGAAATCAGCTCCAAAGTAGTTGGTTTTTTCCCCCCAGGTGGGACTAATCTCAACTAGAGTAACAGTTTTCACCTCATATGTAGCCTCTAGGAAGGGGTGTTGATTTAGGAGGTGTAACTAAAATTCCTTATTGGCGGGGGCGCAGACGACATCTGGCCCCTTTCTTCCCTTGGTCCCTTTGACAAACTCAAAAATTGAGGTACAGTTTCACCAAACTACAGCCTGGGAAACCAGTGAGTTTATTTGGCTTGCAGAGGAGTGGGTGAGTTTAGTTTAAGGAGTGTGGGTGCTCCCGTCCTAAGGCTGCACTGGAAAGTCTTCATCCAGGCTGGATACTGACTTCCGCACAGCCATGCAAAATGGCAAGAGAGCAGCCCCATGGCTTCCTCGGCTCTTAGGCCCTCCCCCTTCATACAGCTAGGGCCTAATCTTCCTGCCCCCCCTTTCTTGTGGAGCATAATAATCAACAAGTTTGGCTGTGATGATTGATCCTAGGCAAAACAGGTGTAACCAAGCTTGGAAAGAAGGCTTCTGTCAGTAGGCTGCTGGTCAAAGGACAGTCC